CAGAAATTTTGGAAAAATTTATTAGAATTTTAGTTGAGATAATTGAGATAGCTGAAATTCTGGTTAATACAAATATTTTGGTAAGATCTATTAGAATTCTTATATGTTGTTACCAGAATAATATTATATTAATCATAATAATTATATCAATATGAGTTATCTCAACTAGATTTTAAATATAATATTTAATCAGAACCATACATCTGTTCCATCTTGAAATTCTCAAATTCATTTCGAACAGATTATTACAAAAAGAATGTAGAAAGAATCCCTTTTGAATTCATTACAATTAATTATCAGTGCTATCTATAATACCGTGCTTCATTACGATCAATGAAAATATAAAATTTGCGTCATTTAGGAAAAATTTAGAAAATTGTTGGAAAAGCCATTGAAAACACTAGGATATGAAGAACAGCTGATGGAAAATGACTTTACTAAATGTTTAAGACAAGAAATTGTGAAATGGGCATGTACCCTCCAATACGATGAGTGCGAACGATCAGCTCTTCGCAAATTAGAGCATCATCTCGAGAATCATGAAAGCAGGCCGTAATATTTTTTCTATAAGTGCAATTTCGTTTTGCATTCCAAATTATGACAAATTTTCCATTGACACATGTAATAAATAATATGTTTATATGTATTTTTATCTTTTTTTGAATCTGCAGCCTTTTATCTTGGTGGAAGCACTGGACATACTGCAATGGTTTACGAATAGCTAATTCTTCTATATGGTCAGACGTAACAGACTTCTTGTTAAAAAAATATGACCGTAAATTGTTATCGTTCCTGACTTGTTCAGAATATGGTACATTTACTTCTGTATCATTTTTGGAGCTATTCACAGAAGATGAAAGACAAGATATTTCAATTATTCGATTACATATAGACATTTTTCATTCAATTATTATGAAACATTCTAACGCATATGACGTACTCGAAAAGATACTTATATCTTTAGAACTTAGAAGACCTACGTAAGTAAATTTTTTGATAAATATACATTATAATTAACTATTAATATACATTATAATTAACAATAATATATATTAATAAAATATAATAAAATATAAATTTATACCAATTAATTTTATTTAGACAAGTAAACATATTAACAGCGCTGGTTGATATCATTAATCATGTATATTCTTACAAAAATCTTAAGAAGGTAAATAAATTCAATTCAAATTCTTTAAATTTGTCAGTTTTCTTTTAGGCCAGATTTCATCAGTGTATTAATTTTAATTTCGGCTATTTATCTTTTTCTAATTGTTAGAATTAAATAATGAGTAAACTATTGCGAGAATAAAGTTTAAACTTTTATTTGTGTAACCGTTTTGTAGATTATAATAATGACTGCATGATGCAATACGTTTCTGATTGTTACGCTTTGTTCTTTCCATTTATGGAATACGATATTTTATTGCATGTTGTTTTTGTCTGTATGAATTAATATAAATAATCTAACAAATGTAATTAAATTTTTAAAAAACATTTTCTTGTTTTAGGTTCAAGATTATATAAAAGGAATTAGCTACTTAAACCAATCACAAATTTTAAAAATTGTAAGTAAGATAAAAAGAAGATCGTCAGAAATTGTCGCTCATGCAGGACATTTTCGATTTATGAACATTCATTAATCTAATTTAAATAACTGCCTAATGTATATAAGTTTTCTTTTATATTAGAGCTAGAATCAGTGAATCAGAAAACAAAAGCTGATGCTACTGTTACTGAATATATAGTGTTAATTTTGAGTATTTTATTATATCAATTTGATAATAATTAGTCTTTACTCAAATGTTATAATATTGTTTTCATTAAATTTTTACTTACGTCTGTATTTTTTGCATGTTTAGTCTTGCTTCATTTGTACATTACTGATTATTTTTACTGATTATCATAATGTTATCTTACCTGTATTATTTAGCATATCATATAATCATTATTATTCGTTTGTAGCGCAAACTAATTATACATATATCTTAATTACAATGAACTAATAAACATTATTTTATTATGAGTACCCTTAGAATAAATTTCTCGTGTTAATATGGAACGTATCCAGTTTGACGTTTTCAATTGACATGATCGCTAAAATTATTATTATCCGTATATAATATCTTTTATATTTTCTATTTATTTACATGTTACGTATCATAATATATTATTAATATTTTTATTATAACTTATAATAAAAGTGTTAGTAACATATTACAATATGTAACACAACTTGTAACACAACTATGTAACTACATTGTATTTCATACCAATTATATTATTAATCTTATAATTTTTAGAATTTAAATAGTAATATTTAATGATTATCGATGATGCTAGTCTGTTAGGACTTCTCGGAAGAATAAGATCGCAGTAATCAATAACATTCTACTAAAATCCATAGATCCATTACAGTTATTATAAATATTAATTAGAAGTTTAAATGATATTCTAATAGCACAATATTTTATTACACAGAGGTAAGTTTCTAACAATATGACATTTGATTTATTTGCAATCAGCACGCACAAATATTTTTTAAGTGCTAGCTTTGTAATAACACTATTTGACTTTTGACTAAATGTTACTTATGCATTAGAAATACGTTAACAATTCGATAGCAAAATAAATCACACATTCGGATAAATTGATCAAATGTATCCACCCACATTATAATAAGTATTTTCTCGCAAAGTAAATTGACTAATATTTCATAAATTAATATAGCACGTCAACTATATTTACATTATAGAAAATTTGTATTTACTATTTTAATGCCTATAGTCCTAACAGACTAGCATCACCAATAATATATTAATATATATCGATATAATAATATAATAAAGAGCAAACTTTTTTTATATTTTCTTGGATTGTGCATTTTCTCTCTCTCTCTCTCTCTCCCTCTTTCTCTTTCTCTCTCTCCCCCTCTCTCTCTCTCTCCCCCCCTCTCTCTCTCACTCTCTCATATTCTAATAGCACAATATTTTATTACACAGAGGTAAGTTTGTAAAAATATGACATTTGATTTATTTGTAGTCAGCACGCACAATTATTTTTTAAGTACTGGCTTTGTAACAACACTATTTGACTTTTGACTAAATGTTACTTATGTAAGCATGTATGTATCTTAATAATGCAGTATAAATTATAATTTTTTGTAGACATTAATATGATATATTCACAGGATTTCTATTTAAGATATTAATTAAGGGAAAAATAAACACGTATTTAATGTCAAATGTTTATTAAAATAAATAATAATTCAAAATTTTTGTAGAACTTTAAGTTGCTGTAACGATGTTTTTAATTACAATGGTGCTGGAAATATTATTGAATTAGAATATGTTTTAGTATTAGTTTTATTTATGTATCGATTTTAATAACCTGTCTCGCTCTCCCTCTTTCTCTCTCTCTCTCTCTCTCTCTCTCGCCCTCTTTCTCTCTCTTTCTCTCTCAGCAACCACAAACAATCATGTGCATTGACATCTATTATTTTTTAAATTTTTGTAGTAGATATTGGTTAGAAATTGCAACATGGAATTGGCATACATAAGGAGCAGTATAATATTTATTATAGTAATAACTGCTATTAACGGTGCAAAAGTAAACAATTC